TATACTGGACAATACTGCTTACATAAATGTGTTAACTGAAACTGACCACGAGAACTTGGCTACTGGTTCCCTTGCGGAGGTCACCCCGATAGCCCTCGTTATGAAAATTGGCATTCACACCGGTCCGGTCATCTCCGGCGTGGTCGGGTCGAGAAGGCCGCAGTTCTGTATATTCGGGGATACCATCAATACCGCCTCGCGCATGAAGTCCACTGCAGTTCCTAATTGTATTCACCTCTCTGCGAGCACGCGGAAGTGCTTGGAGTTCTCTCCAAGCCTGTCTTTCGAGGAGCGTGAGACATTCGTCAAAGGTAAAGGTATGTTGGTAACCTACAATGCCTCGCGGGCTGTTGGACCACTGCAAGATGCTGGTGTATCATCTCCTACAGTATCGAGGGCAGAGTCTTCAGCCGCCGCGATTAGCATTCCCATTGGGGAGAAGGTGGGGAGACTGGCGTCTTCTCTAAAGCGTTCTCGGTCTAGTGCTAGTGCACCATCAGTCAGCGCCTCAGCCACCCTTGCTGAGAGGCTTTCTGCAGGCATCAAGCGGTTTGTATGGAGGAGTAGGAGGACGGTGCGAACCTCTGTTAACGACACTGACCACTCTTCCGTCCATTCGGATGATGAGGAATATGTGAGCTACACTGACAGTTCGGCTCACTCCGACGAGTCTCGCGATGTAAAGATGGCGGTTGAGGCCCTGAGATGCCGCAGCAAAAGTCATGATGCTAACGTGAAGCATGTCATCGCGTATACCGATCTCGGCAGAGACAGGGCCAACGTGTTCACTCTGGAATTCCTACAGAGAGCTCATGAGATCGAGTTTCGCAAAGAACATCTTGCGACATTTGCAACCTCTAAATGGACGCGACGTGTTTTATTGATACTATTGGTGTCTTACCTCCTCCAGACCATCGAGCTAGTCGCCGTACCACAACAGCCACAAATCATACTCTCCCGTCTCCTCCTTGCTCGTATCACCGTATCGGTCCTTTTGATGGTACTCTATATCGTTCATTCGCTGGGGAATATCATACCCGCATCCGCTCTGAGACTACTCACGGTCGTAGTCTACGCTGTTGGCATTTTGCTAACTTCATTACATACATACGCGTTTGTCGAATCGGGACGGCTACAATATTGTGAAGTCGATGATGACCTGGCATGTAGCAGTCTGGACACCACAAATGAGTCCACTACTATAATGTAATAGATCGTGCTGACCCAATGATCGGTGATAACCTTGGTCATCCATTCGACGTCAGAGTCTATCATAATCAGTTTCTCGCCAGCACCATGCCAGGTATCAGTCGTACGCGAATAGCCTCGAGCTGACCATGTGGTTGATGGTGATTAACTTCAAAGCGGCATTGCTTTTCAAGCATCTCATCTATATCAACATCATCATCCTCGTGCCAGTACTGGTATTGTGGAACCTCAGTGACTGCGTGGGGTTTGACCTGGCTATAGAGGTAGTCGCCACGACACAGTTGTTCTCTGGAGATTTATCTCAAACTAATTCCAAGTAGAAGCACAGCGTAGCTAGAGGCTTGTCGGCGTGAAAAATGTTCGACTTGAACTATTATGTTTCCTCGCATTCGCAGTTCTTATCTGGTGACTCTGCGCAGATATCAAGATTGGCTGCTTGTTTTGCCTTCGTTGCGGCAATCATGGTACGGATGAGAGAGTCCTGAGAAAGAGATATATCTAACCAACATTGAGTACCGAAGTTGGCAGAACGAGTCCGTCGATTATTGTCGGAATTCATGCCCTCCTCCGTAGGTCCTGACTTCGACAA